AATTATTTCCTCTTTGTTCTCGATGCTGCGACTGTAGGAGAGACGAAAGAGCGTTCGATAGCCTCAGTTTATATTATAGGGGAGGCTTATCGCACTCAAATATTTCTAATGTAAACTTTCAAACGAAGGGCCAACTCGGAGAGTCTTTCGTTGCGCAGCAAGATTTTAACTGACGACGAAAATGAATCAAATGAATTCTCGCTTTATTATTGATTATATATATATCTTAATATTAATTATATATCTTAATAAAAAAAAGGGAACACACTTATATATAAAATGGTAAGACCTTGAAGGTTGTATCCTAATACTTAAATCTTAATATTTAAAATATCAATATTTATAATCTTATATCTTAATATTTAAGGTTGCGCATGCGTTAACCTAAGGTTCGACTGCACCTACATCATTTCGGATGAACGTCCGCAAGTTTTAATTTTCTGCGGACGTTACAGAAGTTTCGGACCTTCGCATAGGTCGGGTACGGACGTGTTTTTGATTTTGTATTAAAAAATAAGTGCCAAACTTGTTAAGAATTATGCACATCGATGCACATCAATTAATACCATACGAAATTATAGATGATACTAATAATAAATATACGATGCTTTTATCTTTAGAAGAACTTCTAAAGGCTAGAAATGGTAATATATGAATTATATCAGCTAGGACAAAAATAAAGAATTGTTTTAAGAATTCTTCAAGAACTTTTTTATTATTAAATAATGTATTCTCAAAGAATAATCAAATTCTTACTTTACTCTTGTTACATAATAAGCTTTTTGGAATTCTTTACAATTTTTTTTTGTTATTTTTATGCTTATTGGATATAAACCTAACCTCAAATGTGTACTTTATATATATTTAATCTTAAATATTGATAAATTTAATATTTCAATAGAATCAGAAGTCACACGTAAAATTTTGGAAAATGCAAAGTTAACGGCCTTAAAACGGATGTACAAGAAAATTAAGAATCTATTATCTATGATTAACTTTGATGCACATTGTTTTGCATAAAACATATAAGCGTTTTCAGCAAGTCGTTGAGATATTTTTTCAAAAACGTTTTTTTGCTTCAGTTTGCCACTTACAATTGCTGGTTCATAATCCATATACAATTGTATAAACATTTGAATACTGTTCTTAGCCCATAAACCTAAAAGCAAAATTTTGAAATGAAATATTATAAAAAAAATAAATAATTAAAAAATATACTTCATAC